GATCATTAACCAAGTGATGGGGAACGGGATATGATTTGAATACATGAGTTGCACATGCTTCAACATTACTTCTGGAGAAGAGGGAAAGAGAAATAAAATTGGGGATTTTAGTATTTTTAGGGTTTTTATTTATGTTTATTGTTATTTTTTGCAATGTTTGAATTTTAGGGTTATTCTGGTATTTTTATGGTTTGGGGTTTGCTTAATAATTTGCCTATTTAAAGGCTCCTTTGTAATTTGAGAACTCAATTTTTGGAGATTATTGATTATTACTTTCTTTGAATTCTCCTTCTGTGTTATGTTGCTTCTCCCATTTATGTTCTTGCTTTTCTCACCCATTCAATCTATCCTGCCTATCTATTCATTCTATTATCACCCCCTTTCGTCTATTTTCTCATCCCCTTCTTCTAGTCTATCTATTCTTCTATTTTCTTATCTCTTTCTTTCTTTCTGGTTTCTTGTCCAGCATCAATTGGTATCAAAGCAAAGATCCAAGTCCTAGAGTAAAGTATCAAGGTTAAAGAAAACAGTTCAAGCATTGTTCTACTGTTCAATTAAACACAACACAATTTCTGTTCAGCATCCACCCATACTGCCATCCACCCAAACCGCCACTGTAATCCACAACCCAACAAATCAATCTAACCCAAACAAAACCCAAAATCAGAACAGCAACCATCGCCAGAAAACCAAACCCCAACCTTTCACCGAACCAATAAAAAAAAATAAAAAAAAAAAAGACATCACGCCACACCACCAAAATCTATTGCTGCCGAAACCCATCTGCAACCACAAACCCTGTCGCCGCGTCAGTGTCAGTTTGGTACTTCAACAACCACATCGTTCAAAGACCATCACAGATTGTTGTTGCCGGAGTTTTCTCTTGTCACCATCGGCATCGGCTGCATCGTCGCCGTCCCTTTTGTCAAGCCCGTCTTCATCTGTTTTACATCATTGTTGGATTTCTCATCATCAACAATTGTTGCACCAGAGTTTGCCGTCAATTTCATCGCCTCATCATCACCGACACTTTCTGACCATCAATAACATCTTTACAAGTGTTCCATCCATTCTTTTGGAAAAGGATGACTGAGAAGAACCAACCTATTTCACACATATCTCTAATGCGGAGATAAAGTGTGCAAAATAATCATTGACAAGCGAAGTTCAATAAATGTAGTATCAAAATCAGGTGTTGATAGAACGAAACTCAAACCCAAGCCTCATCCACAACCATATAGAGTGGCTTGGGTAGGAGAAACTTCCTTGTTGATCTCTAAGAGGTGCCTAGTCCCAATTCAAATGGGTGACTACTCTAGTATGATTTGGTGTGTGTTTTTAACAATGAATGTAGCTCACGTGCTACTTGGTCACCCATGGATTTGTGATTTAAGTGTAACTCATTGTTGTCTTGATGAAATCATGTTAGCCAAAGGAGTGGCTAAGGGAATTTCCCACGTTCCATCTGGAACTGTGTTTAAGTCTCAACCACCTGAATCTAATGTCCCACATCGTCCCATTTCCGATAATGATGCAGAGGATGTTAGCATTCTTGACTCACACATTTCCATTGTTTCAGATAGGGATGTTAAATACAAAAGCCAATTTTGGAAAACACTGTGGGCATCTTTAGGCTCCAATTTGAAATTTCCCTTTGCATTTTGTGCTCAAACTGAAAAGAAAATTGGGATGGTCAGCCAAGGTCTAGGAAAGTTGGTTGGTTACTGTGAAATAATGCACCTTAACACTTGGGACTTACTGTTATCTATCGTGGAGTTTGCATATAATAACTTGGTCAATTGGTCTGCTCAAAGTTATTCTTTAGAGATTCTATCTGGGTGTTTACTTCGCAAACCAATTCACTTTATTTTGTTGCCTCCACATCCTTGTGCATTTAAAATCTCTCATTCCTTTGTCGAGTATGTCCATGAACTTCATGCCAATATACGAAAACAAATTGTTTTGAGTGATAAAAATTATGAATTTATTGCATATGTTCATTATAGGAATTATGAATTCTTGGAAGGAGATTATCTTATAATTTGTGTACCACAACCACCTTATCCTTATAACTCCTTCAATGCATTGGAAGCCTAAGGCATTCAACATTTCCACATCACTTATAAGTCTAGACCTAATGCATATTTTATTTGACTTGTCAACATATAGTAGTATTAGTCCAATTTATCATGTGGAGTATTTGATGCCTAACTGAGGTACCTTTGAGCCTCGTTTGTTGTTATCTTGTGCTTCTACAGGTGGAAATATATTTTCTTCAGCAGCAGCACTTGTCCTCCCATCATGTCAGTTATGGCATTTAAATTGGATTAAGGAAGTTATTGATAGTCAGAGTGATTCACAACGGATGTATTATCGAGCTTCAGATGTCTCATGGATTACAGATGAGTCTTGCCATGTTGATCCGAGCTATTTTCGGCTGTACTTTCTGCTTCACTCTTAGGGGAAGAGTTCTTCTTAGCCGAGGAGCACTTATGGGGAACGGGATATGATTCGAATACATGAGTTGCACATGCTTCAACATTACTTCTGGAGAAGAGGGAAAGAGAAATAAAATTGGTGATTTTAGTATTTTAGGGTTTTTATTTATGTTTATTGTTATTTTTGACAAAGTTTGAATTTTAGGGTTATTCTGGTATTTTTATGGTTTAGGGTTTGCTTAATAATTTGCCTATTTAAAGGCACCTTTGTAATTTGAGAACTCAGTTTTTGGAGATTATTGATTATTGTCTTCTTCGAATTCCCTGTGTGTTATGTTGCTTCTCCCATTTCTGTTCTTGCTTTTCTCACCCATTCAATTTATCATGCCTATCTATTAACTCTGTTCTCACCCCCTTTCGTCTATTTTCTCATCCCTTTCTTCTAGTCTATCTATTCTTCTATTTTCTCATCTCTTTCTTTCTTTCTGGTTACTTGTCCTGCGTCACCAAGTGGTTCACAATGAACAAGTTGGTCGGATGTCACTAGTCATTGGTTATCAGAAGTACATGGAGGAGCAAATCTCACAAGTAGTGTTTGTTAACTTAGATTGTAACCTCTTTCTCATACAGTGAATTTTGATTGCCTAAACTAGGTCCCTGGTTTTTCAATCATGTCTCTGCTTTATTTTATATATTGCTTTGTGTGTTTGTGTGATGATAATTGGACACGTGATTAACTAATTAACTAATTTTTGATTACGACTCAACGGAAATTTGATAAGTTAGTTAAGTGCAAAATAATATCCATAAAGACCTATTCACTCCCCTCTTGGTTTATATCACCGGCCTTGCATGATTCTTTGTCAAAGCCTCGGGTGGTCCAAACTATCACTATATAAACCTCTCTCTCTCAATAAAATTTCAAATTTACAAAAATTAACACATTCCATGAGCCATAGCCCTAAACTCTGTTTCTGCACTTGATACTACTACAAATTTATATGATTAATTTTTGCTATTATATATATATATATATATATATATATATATATATATATATATTATTTTTCCATTATTTTACTCCAATCATTCACCAGTATCCCTATTAACACTTCAGAATCTCCATCATTTACTATTAATACAGGTCATTTGGGGTAAAAATTGTAATATTGACAAGGGATTCCAGTTTATTTACCAAAGCTTCTATATTGTTCATGGTTGCCATATATTATTTGTGTTGATAATTTATTCCTTGTATCTACCATGGAATCTTATTAATTACTCATCATTAGATTATGGCCGTTAGTTAATACAAAGCTAAAAAAGTAGCAAATTCATGCAGGAAGGGCAATGCTAAAACCGGAAACCACTTGTCCTTCAAATGTTCAAAGATTTGGGCTGTGTGAAAATCGTCTCAAACAAGATATGCATTAGAACAAACATATATGTGCATACATAGTAAGAAAAAGAAATTTAAAAGCACTATCAATATATCAATCAAAAATTTTGTTGGATGTATATCAAGTCAAAAGGCCTTAATCCCAACCCCATTTACTTGGAGCTGGTGACATAATTCCCTCTCTCCATTCAGCTCTCGGAATCTTTGTTAAGGATATTGATACTGATACTGTTGCATAATGGGTTGGGAAAACACAAAAACTGCAATTTCAGACTAAGATTGAGTTTGGGTTGACCGAGGCTTGAAATTATACTGAATAAATTTACTTCAGGTTGAAATAACCTTCTAATTAGCCAACCCACTTAATGGGACAGTCCTAGATAGAGACGGATAAACAAAATAATGGTATGTCATTTATTTATAAATAAATAAATAAATATGATATTTATTTTCCTAAAATCAAGGGGTAGAGCAGGAAGCAGTTTTCAATCTACATCATAAAAATTTGTTCCCCTATATCTCCCGGTTTAAAAGTTGTGTCTCTTTTCCAGTAGAAACTATTTCCATAAATGAACGTATTGGTATAGTTATAACCATGTCAAGTTTGTTAAAGGCCTTCTTATAAAAGACACTCATTGTTATCGTAAGGATGGGGATTCTCACAAGATTTGCCTGTATTGAACAAAAGTGTAAATATCTTAAATATCTTCCCCTTTCTGAAAGGAAAGGACTAAAAAGCATAAATACAGAACCAAAACACTGACACAACACAGACATGTTGACACCAACAAAAGAAGTAGAATGGGAACAATGAATTTCTTATATAAATTTATATTATATATGACAAATATTGCTTTATGATAAGTAGATTTAATATCCTATAACAGTAAAATTTTTAACTTACAAATCATGTAATTATGATCACCATATCGAATAAACAAAAGGTATAACAAGGACAAAACATTCGCGTGTGTGTGCGCGCGCCTCCCCCTTAGAAGTGACGGTGCTTTTTTCTCTTCATGCACACATGCATACACACACACAGATAGACACATATATTACATATGCATACATTATATAATGAAGCATATCACTATTAAATTTCCAGTGATAATAACAGATCACTAGGTCCAAATTAATAAATTATTATTTAGATTATATACCTGTAACAAAGTCTGCAAAGCCTTATTTTTGAATACTACTGTTTCAGCTGGAAATGGCGCAGATGGAATTTCCCACTTTTTATCGTTATCCTTGCAAACTCCCCAATGAACAACGACGTCACCAGGTAGATCAGTTTCTATACGCAGAATATTTTTAGCTGTCTCTGGGCATTTCATGACAGAAGCACTCAATGAGTTTTGAAGTGGAACTACTTTCACAATGGAATGCTCTTCATAGAACCCTTCAAGTCGCCTAGTTTTCTTGTTAGGGTCTCCAGATTCATTATTGCTATCTTCGTCTTTAGGGTTAGCTCCTTCTGAGTTGAGGAGTATGTTGGATAGTTGTCCCAAAGCCCCTGGGATTAAAGAGGAACCAACAAAATTACTCAGTTCATCCTCAGAACTAAGAAAGGAGAAAAAATGTGGCAACCACACAAGGAGATGATTACATCAACCTCTGCATTGATGCATGTTTTCAATTAGTAACCCCAAATAGAAACAATTTCTATTCTCAGAAATTAAAGCATCTGAATTCTGAACCAAAAAAAAAAAAAAAAGAAAACTCTGAATGACACTGACTCGACAAGCTTAGCAATGCCAACTGAAACCAAATTCACCCTGCTTATATTATCATCATTCATTAAAGCAATCCATTCAGCAAAAGGACCTCACTCAGGGACCTACTCTCTTCAACAATTGCAGAAAACACTGGGCTATAGTTGAGTCGAATATTCAAAAAGGTCCTTTCTCAACCATGTCAACCCAAAGAAAGAAGAAAACAGGAATGGACAAAGATCAAACAAGCTACAAGTGGCACAGGCCCCATAGCATTGAACTGCAACATGAATAGAATGCAGCATAAAAGATGTTGTACAACCTGGCCATATGCCAAAGCCCTTTTTAGCTCCTACAATATTGCCATCTTCATGAAGGTAGTCAACAAGAGGCACCTTGAAGTCTCTCCCTCTATGCTGATACCAAGCTCCAGTTTCCTCATCCTATACAATAACACATCCACCCACCCAGAAAATAATATATAGATAAAGATAAATTAATTTCAAAGAACCTAAATGAGATAACTAACATAAAGCAGAAAAAATATTAAATGCTAGTAACTCAAAAACAAACCTTCAAAACAAAATTTATAGCTGCAATTGCACTGTTGGTACTAAAATCAATCTTCACTTCCTGAAAGGTATCTCCTTCTGGTGTTGCGGATGATTTTTTCAAAGGAGTCTCAATTGCATAGTCCTGAAAAGAAATATAAATTTTACAATATGCCAGGAAAACCTCTAACCTCTATACACAATCACAGATTTCAGTACACAACCTTAATGGGAATAGAGCCTGGGGGTCTCATCTCAAGAGGGGGTTGATCCCATTCACTGCAAATTCGAAAGAGAAAATATTTTTCACAAACTCTTGAGACAACCAAAGCTGATCATTAAGATTGGAATGATAAAATGAATGAAACCATCGATTCCAAATTCATCAAAAATTAAACACCACTTTCAATGGACGGAGTGGGAGCTGGGCCTAGGAGGGTAGACTTGCTCCAAACCTAGCTTGACCCCATTTGCTTACCAGAAGGTGCATTCACATGCTTAATTGTTCAAGCTTCTACAATTGCACTGAGCAATGGTAACTCCAAAATGAGATAATCATGGAATGAACAGTAAATGAAACCATCTCGCACATAGTAAAGAATAAAATTCTGTGTACATGTAACTTCCAGTTCCGTTTATGCAAGTTTATTACAATTAATTAAAATCAAAACTAAAAGCATGAGCCACCTACAAGGCAAAACATACCTGCTAATGTCATCAACCAAACTTACTCCCCAGTGAAGAACCCTCAAAACTAAAAGCATGAGCCACCTACAAGGCAAAACATACCTGCTAATGTCGTCAACAAAATTTACTCCCCAGTGAAGAACCCACTTCCCAGGAATATTACATCCCACGACAAGCTCCCAGTTATATTGATCCTTCCCATTATTTAATCTGATAGATATATTTCCCTCGACCTGCGAAATCAATCAATCCATAAACATCCCCAATCAAAGCCAAACAAATCCCTTCCTTAGGTTGCAACAAAAAATAAATAAATACATAAAAACTCGAATTGAATTTTTTTATAACAAATTACAGTCGGTCAAGTAGAGGTTTTTTTTTTTTTTCTTCTAAGGATCTACATTATACAAAATAAAAAATTCTGAAATTCGATTATCTTCATGCATCTATTTTTTCAAATCAATCAATACACACTCTAATCAAAACATAAACTGATTTTCTGCTTGGTTGCTGAGAAAATGAAAGGATAAAAATAAAGAAGGAAAAGAATGCAAATATATATATGTGTGCGTGCGCGCGCGCGCGTGTAAATATCAATATATTTTATAGAATTGTGTGCAATTGTGTATTTGGATTCTCAACTTTTCAACTTGTATTTTACTTTAAGGAACTAAAAATGCTCAATTTTAATAAACCAACAAAACAAATGCACAGAAAGTTCATGTTAATGTATACCTTTTCTTCTCAAGTCCTAAAATTCTTCTTGCTTTTCTCATCAATATACAAATGCACAAAGTTCGTGTTAATATATAATATATATATATATATATATATATGAATATATCTATACAAACATATATATATATATAAGAATTGTTAAGAGTTGGAACCTTTTCAGTCCGGTTTAATGGAAATGTCTTCTTGAAGAAGACTTGTGTAGATTCGGAGGTCTCGAAGACAGCTGTATCGGTGGAGCTTGCTCGGAGATGGAGAGCTGTGGAAGGTCTGAAGTTGCAGAAGCTCCTATAATTGGAGAACGATCTGAGAGTGTAATTTATAGAAGATTGTTTGGCCTTCTTCGAATTTAGGCGAAATTTGGGGCTCTCTCTGCGACAGTGATGAAGAATAGGCTCCAGAGCAATGGTCGACATAGTATTGAATCTATTGAAGAAAAAGATAGATTCAGGAATTGTATGTACGAAGAACAGGAAAGAAAGAGATTTGAGGAGGAGAGGAGAGAAGAGAGAGATTTGTTTGCAGATACATTTATATGATTGAGTGACGGATATTTTATTCAATTTTTCAATCACTTTTCACTTTTTACTGTAAATTATGAAATCCTCCCCCAATGTTTTTCAAAATCACGATTTCAAAATTGTTGATTGTAGGTGTTCTTTTGTGTTTAAACTCAACCTGAAAGAGAATTTTTCCGAAGACATAATGTCCAATGAAACCCTAAATAATTATCTACCACAAACCTTATAAGTTCTAAATCTTCATTGATCACTATTAATTTCCCTTTAATTCATAATTCTAAACATTTTTCTTATTTTTCTTGCATCACACCTGATTATCATATAATAAAATAAATAAATCAATTAAAATGAGTTCTGCACTAAATGATGTCCTCATTATACTTGAAATTAAGGAAAAGTTAGACAAATGATGGAGAAATAAGTACAAAAACTATTTTATGATCCGGGATTATACGGTCCGGACGAATTACTAACAAATATGTTATTTTTATTTAGTTTTTTTTTCTCAAAATAAGATATTTTATAGGAGGCTTCTGTAATAAAACATAAAGGAAGGGATTTATGTGTAAATTTGGCATTTCCAAGAATCCGTGTACTTTTACGATAAATTTATAAGTGGGATTGTGGCCGCATATGCAATTTTGGTGACGTGAATCGGGGAAATATCAGGCAACTTTCCGTGGATTAAAGGGGTCAACTATCACCACGTGGGCATTGCAGGATGTTAGTAAAGTGATGAAATTACAATTAAAAGAGGACCTGAAAATTTAATATAAAAAATTATTCAAAATTGAGTTAAACTAAAACCGAATATATGATGTTTACCAATAATATTTCCTTAATGGCTAAGGAAACACAAAATATCTAAGACGCCATAATCATCATTAAGAAAACATAAAAAATTTCAATCAGAGATAAAAAAAACACATATATATATATGCAGGTTCATTGAATGCAGCCTTTATCTACAAAGATAGGATCCAGCTTGCATTCAGCCTTTGATTCAGGGAGTTTTCAATTTTTTTGGGGGCCAAGTTCGGTTTGGATTCAGAGGCGGGCGCAGGAAACTTTGTCGTTCCTCTGGCCTTTCTCGTCGCACAGTATTTTTGATGTCTCTAAAGAGGATTCAGTAATAAAATTAGAAACGTGAAGAATTACCATTTATGAAATGTAAATTTATTTCAAAACCAAAAAATTATTCCAAACAACTTTTATTGTCTAAGATTTGATAATATATAATAAGGGCAAAGTCTAAAATACCCCCTCTAACTTTCACCATTTTTCACTAAACCTTCCTTCACTATTTTTATTCCAAAAAAATCCCCACTCAACTATCAAATGGGGGTAACAGATTCATAATGACATTAACTGAGGATGCAAAATGACTAAAATATCCCTTATACATATTATATATGTAGTATCCCCATTAAATTTCACGTTGCTGTCGTCTTCCGAAAAAATATGTATATATATATTTTCTTGTTGCTGTCAAAATAAATAAACACGTGAAATAACATAAAAACACCATAAGTCCATAACCATAAAAACCACAATAGAAATTTTTTGTACCTTTAAACAAATAAAATTAAAATGGTTGTTGGTAAAGAAAATGAAAACTCATTATAATAAAATGTTTGATCTAATACTAACAGCCACCAGCAGTTAAGTTTCAAGTTGATAGTCACCAAGCCCTTGCAACAAATCATAGACACCCAACACTGCTTAGTACATGGCCAAAAAAAAAACACAACAACTTAGTACACAAAAATCAAAACCCATTATCAGAAGACCAATTGGTGGTGTTTGAAGCAATTAAATAGAACCAAACTACAGTTCTAAGTTAATGCATTTAACAAGCTTATATAGATTCATATTGAATATGAAATTAAAAAATAGTTATATGGGTGTGATTTGCTCACATTGGTTTGGTTTTCACAATAATGTATAGCTAAAAGACGTTTATCACAAATCAACTTCAAATATCATTCTACAATACTAGATTTGGGACTCAAAAATTAATTTAAACATCAGAATAAGCATAAAATAAAATAAAATAAAAAAGTGTATTATATCTCTTTCCTGAAAACAACCACTGATGAGTAAGTAAGTATTCATTCGCAAAAGGATAAGTACTGCTACTTGTCTGATGATGAAATGAAGGAACAACAAAAAAAAATAACTCATAGAAAATTGAAAAGTTGCTTTAGACTCGGTTAGTGATTATTATTATTATTATTCCTTGGGTCCTATATAGGAGAAAAATCAATTCATTATTATGAATTTTAGCCTCTCCGTTGAATCTTTGCAAAGGGGATGATGGCAATTCACAAATTTTGCCTAAGGGATACTTTAGTCATTTTGCATCCTTAGTTAACGTCCCTTATGAATCTGTTACCTGTTTTGATAATTGAGGGGGATTTTTTAGAATAAAAATAGTTAAGGGGTTTAGTGGAAAAGGGTGAAGGTCAGAGGAATTTTTTTGGACTTTGCCCTATATAATAATGGAGAGATTTTTTTTTTTTTTTTTGAAAGATTAATGGAGAGATTGATAGTGATATAATTAGTAGGATTGATTTGGTTAAACAAAATGGAGACAACTTAGTTAGCTTTTATGTCATAAAAGAATAAAACTTGAGTTAAAAGGAAATTATTTATAGAACCATTGTTAGACATATCAAATTGTATGGAACGGAGTATTGAGCCTTTAAAAAAAACAAGAACAAATGCTTTCATTTAGCAAAAATGAGAATGTTAAAATAGATAAATAAAGTGACTAGAAAAGATAAAGTAAACTTAAAGACAAACCGGTCAAGCGAAAAAAACGGACCGTAATATAAAAGATTGGAGAGATTGATTAAAACAAAAATAACGATGAGAAATTAAAATGCTAGAATCTACCATTGAAATAATCTATAACTCATTTCCCGTTCAATACCCAAAATAGAACTATCAATACATTTTTAGTCCATGAGCAATTTGGTTCACAAAAATGACATACTAGTTAAAAAAAAAAAAAAAAACACATTTTGTCTAAATTTTAATTTAAGAAAAATTAATAATAATGGTATGAGACAATTTGCAAGGTTTACAGTAATATGGAGGTTATTTGTGAAATTATTATTTACAAAAGTTGTACCTTCTAAAAATGGCAGCATATGATTATGAAAGGTCCCTTTCGCTCCCTCTGTCTTTTTGTTTAGGAAAATTATTTTGTAGGTGAAAGTGGACCAAAAAGTTGCACGGCACTCCGATGCAGTGGCCTAAGGATATAATGGTAAAATTATATAATTTCGTTTTTTTGCTAGTCAATTTCAATTGGATCAAAGAAGGCCTATAATCTTTTGGTATTTATTTTTTATATATGAATATGAGACACACGGATACGACAAGATATAAAAGTAGTGATATGACAGATTTTTAAAAACAAATAAATAAGACTCGAGTGTAGTAAGAATTTTTGTGATTCTCAAAGGATGAGGGGGCAAGAGGACGTATCGAAAAAGATCTCTTGTTCTTGTTATAAGATGATACACATATATTTGAGAGATATAATAATCTTTCCCTTTGAGAATAATAAAAAATAATATAATTTGACATTTTTATAAATATGTCAAAAAATAATAATATAATATATTATATATAAAAAATAATAATAATAATTTGGTTTTCTAATATTTTTATATTATTTTTTAAATTCCATTGAATATTATTTTTCAAAAAAAAATACAAAATCATTTCGTTATAGCTTGAAAGTGTGTAAAATGTATTATTTCTATGTCCATGTTCCTCTGACCCTTCGGCTTTCTGTCCCGCCCCTCTCTTAATGGGGTAGATTTGGTAGCCTCTTAAATAGGTTTGGGACGTGTATAATAAAATAATTGAAAATCCAAAATGAGTTTGGAGCGGGATAGATTTATTGATGAACCCGCTCTCGCCCTAATTATATATATATCTTTAAAAAATTTATAAATATAAAAAATATATATTTAATATTTTTAAGACCTTGTTACATTACTGAAAGTGTCTATTAATATAATAAATATTCACTACTTAGTTATTTAACATTTGGACCAACTTATTTTTTGAGATAATTCCAAAAAAATGGATTTTTGGGGGTCAAAGGACAAAAAAAAAAAAAAAAGGAGTCAAAATCAAGTTTTTTAAATGAATGAAATTTTTTGAAAGTACATGGACATGAAAAATTAATGTACATCATCTTTTTTATTCCCAAAATACCTTTCTATTGTTGTAATGAAATTATGTTATTAACCCTCTTATATCTAGAGAGAGAAACCCATCTATGACTACCCTTCTTCCCAAATGAACAACCAATAATCCCCATCTGCCATTTCTCTCTTTCACCCACATAACCAGCAAACCCATTTAAAAAAAAAGGTAAAGTACAGCTACACCCTCTGAAGTTTGACAAAAGGACATTCAAAGGAAACTTACCTATTTTTTAAACAAAAACATCCCTTAAAGGTTCAAAAATGGATAAAGACACCCTTTACATGAGAAATTAATTAAATTACCCTTTGACCGTTTAGGGGACTTTTTTAACTTTACAATTTAATAAATTGGACCAATCTACCCTTATGAACAATTAATGCATAAAAAAAGAAGTAAAAAAAAAAAAAAAAACTTTATATTATTCACTTTTTTCATTTTTACTTTTTTAAAGTAAATAAAAGAAGTAATAACAAAATATAATTTATTTGAAATATATGTATTAGATAAAAAAAATCATTTTAGACGTGGACATTTTTAAGAAGTTTGGACATTTATAACGTATATAAAAATAAATAAATAAATAAAAATAAATAAAAAGTGAACAATATAAAGTTTTTTTTTTTACATTTTTTTTTATGCATAAATTGTTCATGAGGGTAGATTGGTCCAATTTATTAATTGTAAAGTTAAAAAAAGTCTCCTAAACGGTCAACAGGTAATTTGGTCAATTTCTCATGTAAATGTAAGGCTGGCCACAGATCGGATCGGATTGGATTAGGTA